ATTAGGAGCAGGTCAGGAGCCTGGCCAGGTGCATTTTCTTCTCTTAATCTCTTAGTACTCTAAGATCTGCTGCACTCTGCACTAGCCAAAATGACTTGCTCCTGGATGTTCCACTCAAAAGCAGTTCTTTATTTATCCACTTTATCTTCTTTTACTGATACAATTTTGAAGCTTGGCTGACCTTGTCAATGCCCCTGCTCTGCCCTGTGAAATCTCTTCATTCAATCCTTGTTATTGTTTTCCAATTCTGATCTGCCCCACATCAGAACTGTAGTTTGGTGCAAAATAATCCCCTGTGCTGGATTAGAGAACATCCCAAGTAATGCTTTGGCAAAGGGGAGACAAAATTTTTACCATTATAGAACAGAGGAAAATAAACGTGCCACGAGAATTAAGTAAAAATTACACATACATATAAAGAGGCTTCAAATTATTTAACAGTAACTTGTTAAAATGACAGCTGCTACAGTGCTGCCTATCATAAAATGAGAAAAAACCAGTATATTCCCTAATTATGGCTGTAGTCTGCCCTCACTCTGTGCCTATATCAAGAGTAAAAAAAGTACATTCAGTATTTTGAATATTTCTGCAAGGCAAAGACAGGTCCATAAATCAACAGTAACAACAACCCCTTGCAAAGCATGTCAAGAGAAACATCGACCAAGACCTTGTAACTCTTGGAACAAGAATGACATCCTTAATTCTGGGAGCTCCTGAGACTTTCATGGCTCTTTTCCAGGTCAGAGGGAGTGTGAAGCACTCCTAATAGGCTACATGGGAGCGGTGCTTTACACTACCCATCAGGGAATATGAGACTCAGCTGGAGCACTGCTGCACAGACTTCATAGAATCATACAATCATTTAGGCTGAAAAGACCTTTAGGATTGAGTCCAACTGCTAAGCTTGCAATGCCAAGTCCACCACTAAACCTTGTCCCTAAGCACCACAACTACACAACTTTTAAATACCTCCAGGGATGGTCACTCAATCACTTCCCCGGGCAGCCTGTTCCAATGCTTAACAATCCTTTTAGTGAAGATTTTTTTTCCCAATAGCCAACCTAAACGTTCCCTGGCATAGCTTGAGGCCATTTCTTCTTGTCCTATTGCTTATTACATGGGAAAAGAGATTGACCCCACCTCACTACAACCTCCTTTCAGGTCATTGTAGAGAGTGATAAGGTGTCCCCTCAGCTTCCCCTTCTCCAGGCTAAACAACCTCAGTTCACTCAACTGGTCCTCATAAGACTTGTTCTTGAGACCCTTTACCACATTCATTGCCTTTCTTTGGACACACTCCAGCACCTCAATGTCTTTCTTGTCTTGAGAGGCCCAAAACTGAACACAGGATTTGAGGTGTGGCCTCACCAGTGCTGAGCACAGAGGGACAATCACTTCCCTAGCCCTGCTGGCCACACTATTCCTGACACAGGCCAGGATGCCGCTGGCCTTGGACCTCTGGGCACACTGCTGGCTCATCTTCAGCCAGCTGTGGACCAACATCCCCAAGTCCTTCCCCAAGCTTGCAGCATTGCGGGAAGTTGTTGTGACCCCAGTGCAGGACTTGGCACTTGGCCTTGTTGAAGCTCATTCAACTGGCCTTGGCCTATCGATCCAGCCTGTCCAGGCTTCTCTGTAGAGCCTTCCTATCCTCTGGCAGGTCATGGGGTGGTTATACAGCTTCACAGTTGAAGTCAGAGACAAAAATAACCAGAGTTAGTTTTAACTTGTCTGGCAAACAGATGGTGAGCTTTCGTGGAGCCCCTTGAACTTTAGGTCAACTGCAATCCAGCAAACCCATGAACCTGTGGCTTTGAGGCTAGAAGAAACTCTGTTGGAATATCTACCTCAATTTTAACAATGTTTGAAGCACAAGCACCTAGTGACACAGGGTTCACACTCCTGTATTCAGCAAAAGCTATTGTAATTTTTTGAACTGTAAAACATACTTTATAAGACTAATTTTTAAAACAAGGACAATGCTTTCAGTGCATGATTAATTGTCTTCTTGAGTAAAAGTGATCATGATGCTTACACTTTCAAGTCCTCAAGTCTTTTGTTTTTACAAGAAAGTAGAGAAGGGAATAGAGTTATCAAAATAAACATTCTTAAATCAAGGGAACGCTTTTTCACTTTGCCCTGAGGATGCTCCCAGTGAAACAACTTCTTAGGCTATGCTACTCCTAGTAGTGTCTGGCACTACAAGATATTCCCTTTCCTGACCTATTTTGCCCATTTTAATTCTTTCAGAGTTGCTCTGCAATTACAACATTAACTGCATATGTTTAGGGTATGTCTGCACAGCATCATTCTTTGCCGCATGGGGATACACAAGTCGGCAACAAGCACACCAGCTTTGAAATCACAAACATTGGAACTTCAGTAAAATATTTCACCAAATTAACATATTGTTGCTATGAGAAGTCAGTTACTACCAAGGTGTTTGACATGTGCCATACAGATCCATTATTGATACTGATGTAAGCTATATTTTGGACATTACATATCCTGCATCCAGTTGATACTTTCCTACTGTTAATACACATTCTTCCTCTGACTGTGTATTTTAACAAAAGGGTTTCAATTTATTTCAAGCTGGAAGGGACCTCAGAAGGTCTCAGTGGCTGCTCCTGAAGTTTTTATATTCTACAAAAGAGCCCAAAACTTGGATGCTGTATTCCAGATAGGTCCTAATAAGTGTTGAGCAAAGGGAGAAAATAATTTCCCCTCAATCTACTGGCTATGCTCCCATCAATACAGCCCAAATTACTTCACTCAAATAAATAAAAGGTAAGAAAAATGAACCTCCCTTAAACTACAAATAGTCAATGATTTTTAGATCGGCTTTATTACTGATGACAGATTATGTCATTTTCAACTTATTTTTTCTACTAGTTTTGGAACAGAATTCACATAAAAAGGGTATTTTCTTCTCTATTCTGTCACTGTCTACGGCAAATGTAATTTTTTGGTTCATTGCTGTTCTTCTAAACTTAGATTTTGGGTGTTCTTTGGGATCACTGAAATTCACTGCAGTTATTATTTGAATAAATTCACTTGTCACTTCCACAGCAGACTGTCATTTTCCTTTACTATAGGAGATGTTCAACGGAGGTTCAAGAGTGGCTACCTGTGTAGTTGCTTGGGGAGCAAGAAAAGTACTACAAGAACACGTTGGAGCATAGAAGGCAAAGCAGGCTCTTGCAGCTGGGTCTGTTGTCTTCAGCAGAATGCTCCAGTCACAGAACTTTTGACTGCTGATGCATTTTCTCTTTCTCTTACTCTCCTCTTCCCCTCCACCTTCTCCAAACAGAAACTTTATTTGTGAAATAACTTTCTTGAAAAATTCATGACTGACTTTACTGATTAATATGTATGTACCTCAATGTCCTCTATGGATTATTTTTTTCTTGTCTAATCTTCTGCAAAGAACATCCGTTCGGCTATTATATTCAATAAAGTGAAAGCTCGGAGTCCCAAGAGGCTAATTATCCATGGTTTTGTTACAATATTAATTCTGGCAATCACGGAATTTTAAAATTCAGCTGAGGTAATGCAAAAAGCATCTCTTAATAACTGCATGATCATGAAATACTGCAAGAAGTTTTCTGAGATCATTTGCTATTATGAGATATGGCTTTCTCAGTACTCTCTTAGCTCCTTTTCTGTTACAAATTTAGAAGACTGAAGTTCATCCCTAAAAGTTGAAATTGTGATTTTATTTCCTCAGGAAACAGTTTTGCACAAAAGAACAGTTCCTTCAAAACATGTTTTGAATGCAGGGAAAGGACTGCATTAGGCTGCAACTTGCAAAATGGCAAATGTTCTCACTTGTCTCGCTTTTTCATCAGTGGTTAGCATCCACTGTTTCAGATGGATTTGGTGGGAGATGCAAATATCTCTCAAGATAAGGCTTTTATGCTTCCTCCTTCCAGTAGCTCCAGCTCTCATTTGGTTAAATGCCATTTGAAACACCGAAGGGTGCACCTGCAGCTGACACTCCCAAAGCATCTGAGTCTCTTGTACATCCCATGTCGCATCTGCCTGACCTCTCCCTGGATGTACCCTGAATTTCTCAAATGGCAACAGCTGCCTATATTAAAGAAACAGAGTTGACCCCCCCCGAAGTTTTATGGTCAGAAAGTGAGCTATAATTATCATCATAGAATCATAGAATCATAGAATGCATTGAGCTGGAAGGGATATTTAGAGGTCGTCTAGTCCAATCCCCCTGCAGTGAGCAGGGACATCTTTAACTAGATCAGGTTGCTCAGAGCCTCACCAAACCTGACCTTGAATGACTCCAGGGATGGAGCCTCCACCACTCCTCTGGGCAACCTGTTCCAGTGTTTCACCACCCTCATAGTAAAGAACTTCTCAATGTCCAATCTAAATCCACCCTGCTCTAGTTTAAAACAATTGCCTCTAGTCTTGTCACTATGTGCCCTTGTCACTATACACATCATCTCCCTGTACTCAGTTGTAACTTTATGCTATCTGTATTCCAACCAGTGTCTAATACATGTGTCTAACCAGTTTTCCCATTTTCCAGTTTCTTCTGCAGTGCCCTAGCTGGACAGCTGCAGACAAAGCGCTTGCAGTGATCTAAGCTTTTATTTCAACTTGATTAAACAAACAAACAAAGAAGTATAATTCAGTTGCCTGTGGAGGAACCATTTATTGACAAAACCCTACTGGTTACCTGCAGAGTGTCCCTCTGGTCACAGAAAGAGTGAAAATCTATTTTGTGAGTGAATCCTGTTGCATCATGACAGACAAGTGTGTGAAGCACAGAGCCTCAGAGGCCAGAACAACCTTTGGTTTTGTCCAGGACACAACAGACAAACAAATGCTGCCCCTGGAAGCAACCTTGAGAGTCTCTTCAGTTTTAAACTCTGCAGCGATTAATTCGCAGTTGTCTGGTTTTAATTAACTAATTAATTAATTTTATTTGGGGCAAACTTGTCAAAAATATAACCTGCAAAATGTGATTTACTCACTTATTGTGGACCCAGATTCGGGCCTGTTCAGGGAACTGATGATGACAAAGCCAAAGCCTTCATTCTCCTTGCGGTGGATCACCACGTCACTGGTTTGCAGGCTGTGGGAAGTGAAGCCCTCGGGGGGTGTAGCATTACTGCTAGAGACAGCATGATTACTGTTAGCGTAAGTAGTGTAGTCACTTCTTGGAGAACTGTGGTGCGTAGACACTGAGCCTGGGCTTCTGCCATTCTCTGGGCACGGTTCTCCTACAACATAAATCGCACCAGTGTTACAGTCTGACTTGCTCAGTGGCTCTGTGACTTACACTACATTTGCTAATGCAACGTGAATAAAGTTGGCTGTCTATAGCCCAGACTACTGCAAGTATTCAACGGGGAGCTGTAATAGATGCAGAGAGACAGGAATCTACACAATTATGCAAAACATTCAAGGGCAATCAGATAAAGCAAGTATGAACACTCACTGCTAAGCTACCTAGAAGAGAGGAAAGGAATGTCAGAAACAGCGGCTATCTGAGTTGCAACAACAGTAGCAAGCACTGTTCCCTTGTCTGCTGGTTGATCTGTCACCGAGAGGAAAATGTGACCGTCTAATCCAATATAAAATTATTTGTGCTTGGATTAAAAGAATTTAAGCAGGCAGCTGACTTAGAGTAATTAGGATTAGTTGCATAATGTTCTTCTTACAAGTTAATTAGCATGCTCAGAAAGATGCTCATGGAACGGAGCAGTTATACAATGAAAAAGAATCACAAATAGTTTTTCTGTGGATGTTGTGACAGAAGCAGTGGTCATTTAAAGGTTCTGAAGATGCTCTTGTGTGGCAAGTTTTAAAGGGTAAATGGAGTCCATCCACACTTTGATATTGCTTTACAGTAACAATAACAGGGAACAAGTAAAATCTTGTGGGATTACACACTTCTTCAGTACAAGCATCTTGGTAACTGAAAACAGCAGAGTTATACTTCCAGATGGGAAAAAAGATTTATATTCCTTGCAGATCTAAACTGTTTGTACAAATCAGCATTTATTGACAGTTTAAATACAAAAGTTTCAGAGGAATGTAAGTAATACGTTTTCTGTTTGGAGTAAGAAGAGTGGCAGAATCATTCTACTGAACATGTGAAGAGCTTATGCACATACACATACATCCTAGGAAGAGAGCTTGCAAATTAGACCTTCAGTGTGTATATATCAATAAAATAAACATCATCCAAGGACAAGCTGTTGCTTTCTCAATCAGGTGCGTCCTTTAGCAGTCCTTCTGCAGCTATGAAATAAAGTGATTAGAGTGAATAAAGAGGAAGAAAAACAAACAATTATTATACTCCTGCATTAGAATTGAAAATATCCAAGAGTTATTGAACCAAATCTGCAACTAAATGCCATAGTCAGTGACAAGAGAGATCTCATTTTCTGGCTGTCATGTTTCAGAAAGCTGAATATTGTTTATGTCAGTATGGCTGCAACAGAAAGGAAATTATCTTACCCTGCAGAATGACCAAGAGCTGGCTGGGTCATAAAAGAAAGCAACTGAATGCCATTAAGTATAGGAAAAGAAAGATAAAGGAGGAAAAGTTTAAATGGCTATTCAATTTTCAGTTGAGCGATAGATATTCATCAGAAAAGTTACATTTTTCTTCTGCTTATGAAAAAAATGATATTTTAATCTGCCTTGTTCTGCATACCACGTTTTCCTAATAATTTTTTTTTTTCCCAGAGCTTGTGAATGGTGATTTTCTGTTTCAGATCTAGGTAAGTATCTGTGCAAAACAGTGATTCCAGGTGAGGGCTAAGAAACCTACATCAGCTACTAGGCAGGTAAGGAAAGCCCCAGATCCCTCTGTTGTACGCATCCACGCTAGTGAGAAATTCACATGAAATCAGCTGGCCTGATGGGTTAGTACAGCATTTTTCAGTCATGTCCAACATAAGTTGTTTTAAAATTTTTCCGCAAAGCTTATGTTGTAACAGACCAAATTAAAATCCTGTCTAGCTCTTGAAATGCTTAAACATTAATGAGTTACCCACTATACTCCCTGGTGTGGCACTCTCAAGGCCCAAGAATAACTCCAGGTGTTTTACCAGCTTGCTTCATTTACTGTGCCAAGAGACCAGAGTGTTTAATAGCCTCTTTTATTTAATATTTAACAAGCAGCAGCAAAGGCTGGCATCTGCTCCGTGCTAACCCTCTTGCTAATTTTGCCTGCAGGCTGACCCGGGAAAGGTGTGAATCGCAAGGACTCGGCGGATTACCTTGGTTATCGGCCATTTTCCTAGCGCTGGGGGAGCTGCGAGGGGGCGTCGCGCCGGGCGGAGGGGGACCTTTCTGGCTGGAGGACTCTGGAGTCAGCAACAGAAGAAAGTCAGTCCCGCGAGAGCGTGGCTGGCAGGGAGCTGCGGTGCCGCAGTGGGAGGGGGACTGCGAAGACGAAGGCGAGTGGGAGGGCAGCTTTTTGGCAGGGGGAACGAAGGGGGAATGGTGCAGGCAACAGCAGCAGATCTAGGGCACGGGGAGGCAGAAGACAGGACAGGCTGTGAACGTGGTTTTGCTCATTTCTGGTGCCTCAGTGAAGCATACTCGCCACAAATGGTTCTTAAATGAACTTCTTTCCTTGACTAAGTAAAGGTTGCAATGGAACAGCAGCAAATTCTCCCATTAAGATTTTAATATATGCTGCCACACTTTTTTCCAGGTTCCAGTGTTTTTCAACAACTGTGACCAAGCTAGTCTAAAGGTTTCATTTACTTCAAACTCTTCATGTTTGAAGTTCATTTTCAAAATGTGCCTGCTTCAAGGGAGGATCTGGCCCTATTCCTAGGAGCCACTTTTGCCATATAGAAGGTTTCCAGCCAGCTTACATTGCAGTCATGGGCTGAAATTCCAGATGACATCAGTGAGACCAGAAATGGACTTTTAACACGTACAAGAGTGAAATGAGTTCTTATCCTAAACAGTTAACAGCCCGAGAGCCTTCCCCTGATTGCTTATTGACCCAGTCAGCTTTAACAGTTTTAGCTTAGGTGACAGTTTTGTCCCAAAACTGGGCAAGAGGAGACAGCACAGACCATGACAGCACGGAACAAACCCAGAGCACTCATGATCATCACACCAGGGCTGACAATGTTGTTTCCACTTCTGAAGGAAATGACACTCAGCTGTAGCATTTTTGTCACAGAAACAAGGGACACATATTTCCAATTAGTCTTCAAAATAACACAAACATTCACTTTATTTTTTTTTTTTAACAGCACCTGTTTGTGCTGCCAGCATCCAGATACGTTTTTCCATCTACCTTTTCCAGCCTTCACTCACCTGTGGGTAGCACCTTTCTCCTCACAGTAAGATTCACTTGCCCGTTTCGGGCAGCGTTATGCATAAGATCAATCACATATCGGTGGGTTTTGCCAGCCACTGGAATCCCATCTACGTACACCAGCTCATCACCAGGATGGAGACGACCATCTCGATCTGCTGAGCCCATGGCAATTACTGCTCCGATGAGAATCTAGGCAGAGAAGAAACAAAATCCCATCTTATATACACTGATCCTCCAATTTAGTGTCGTGAATGTTGCAGTGATTTTCCCTTTCTTTCAAAATTGAAATAGTGATTCAATGCAGGGGAAAAGATCTGAGTGTGTCTGAAAGCTGTGCTCCCCTCTGTGGGTATGATTGAAGATGCTTCCTTGGCTTCATAAGAAGGTAAGATGTTTCCTACCTGTGTAGGAGTGATATACCTGAGAATCCTGAACTATGGATGACCTACCGAATATCTTCAAATCAAGACCATCTGTCTATAAGGAGTGCTGACTTCATGTAGTCTACAATATGCAGAAGATCTAAATTGATCAATATTCCATAAGGGTCCTTCTGACTTAAAATTTAATTAGTTTGGTATTTTTTATTGAAGGTTCCTCACTGTTGTTTCATTTAAGTACCTGGAGTAATACATTTGAGGTCAGTAGTGGAAGTGACCCCAGTAAATAAGAGTTTGCTTTGGGGACTCTTTAGGGGAAAAGTGCTATATCAAATATTGTTACTCATAATGAAGAATTGCTCAGGTAAGGGTTGATTAACAAATTGAAAAAAGAGGAGAAATGTCAGCTTACTCTGGGTAGATGTTGTTTTCCCAAATCGACATTTAAATGTAATTTGTATGGGACATATAAACCAGTAAAAAAATCTGTTCAAAACCTTTAAATGACTTTCTCCACTTTCTATGCACATAAATTCACATAATTTATTAGAAAAAGACATATATATTTTCCCTGTGGAATAACTGATAGATGAGTTCAGATTGACTCAAACAAAACCTGCTTTCTTTGAAAGAATATGAAAGCATTCGCAGAGCGTGTTCCAAATTTTCCTTTCTCTTGTTCAGTGTGAGAATGAGCACAGAATGATGGATATGACATGCTGTGTGACAATCTGCTTTAAATAATAAAAGATAAAAGCTCTCAAGTATTGCTTTTCATGATGAACTGCAAAGGCTAGATGTGGTAGTCACGCAGGTGGTCTTGTGTGTTTTTGTGGTCTTAGCTGCAGAGCTGCAAGTATCCCAGCAGAGTATTTAAATGAAACCCCATATGGAGCCTGGAGAATTTTTCCTAAGTTTCTAGACTCCCTTTGGCTCTTTTTTGCTCTCAAAACTTAGAAAAGAGTGAACACGATGTGGCATTTTCCTGCTTCCTGGTGTTCCTGGGATCCTGTTAAGCAGTGCCAGGCTGAGCTGCCAGGGAGACTCTTTCAGGTTCTCCATTCTGTTCTTCAAATAGTGAAAGAATATACCTCAAAGCTTTGGAAAATACTTTGTTCAAAATCCAACTATGAAATATGTATTTATGCTCCTTTACTGGACAAGAAAAAAGGCATCCAAAGCAATGTTTAGCTAGATTTCCACAAAGTATTCTCAAAACTGTTACATTTGGGCATTTCATATGAGTAAGAATTTTTTCCTAGTTATCTTGGGAAGAGATACGTGACAACCGTCTGCAGCTTGGAAAATTGTAGGGACTGCCTTCCCTCTTTGGTTTTATTGGATATTTGCAGTTTCATTATAATTGGCTGCTGAAGTATTGAACAACTTGTGAATCTTCAGCCTTTGGAGAAACACAAACCCAGCTCATAGCATGGTAGGCCATCAGTATCTACAGCAAAAAATCTTTCTAATTTTGACTAATTAAGTAATTAGTCCTTATATTTCACATACAGTGGAAAGTGATTGTGGTTTTCATTTCAGTGTTGGAATTGCTTCCTAACGTAAGCAGCAGTCTTATTTTAAACACTTCAGGGAGGTGTGTTTGTCAAGATGATGGCTACCACATATGTTATTTGGTATATTTAATATCAAGAAAAACTTGATTTTCCTTCTTTTTCATTTTTTTTGTGTGTCTGAACTTGTTTTTTATCCAGTATCTGTTTACATTTCATGGCCAAGTAGTCTCTGCATTAGTCACAAATTCTACAAGCAAAATGTGAACTAGGAATATATTTATCAGGATTATATTACCTCTGTAGTTCTAATCTCATACTGGCATGAGATTGCTTTGAAAGTGTGAGGAAAACGAGGATGATGTAGGAAATAAAGATTGTCTTGTAGAGAAAAGGGAAAGTTCCACCTCTTGCTTGAGAGTAAACATGAGAAATGCTGGGATTAGGAAGATTGTGACAGAGCATAATCTGTAACTGGTCTGGGTCTATTAACTCATGAATGTTAATCTGCTTTGACACTAAGTTTCTTTGTGATTCTGAGTAATTATTTGACTTTGTGTTGTAGTTTTTCTGATATAACACAGTAGTTTCACAGGCACACAGAAAAATTTAAGTAACACAGGTAAAATTGTGATTCATCTCACCTGATTTTAAGTATATGTGTTGTCTTAAATCCAAACTGATCATCTGAACTCTGTCTACTAACCTCTAAAAATAGGAGTTCCTAGTTTTAGGTGTGGTCTACTTTTTCCTAACATTTTGCTCTAGGGACATCTGTTATGTCTTAGAAATGTCTATTTCTTGGCAATCATCATAAAAGGAATATATAGACATATATAAGCATTTTGGAGAACAATCCTAACAAGTCTGTGTCGAAAAGGTGAAACTCCTAGTGTAATTATGTATACGTTCCTATGATTTTGAGCTTGAGCTGCACAGATGTGGCGTCCCTGCCCAAAACAGGGAGGTTGGACTAGATGATCTCTAAGGTCCCTTCCACCCTAGGCCATTCTATGATTCTATGATTCTATGATTCTATGATTCTATGCCATTCTATGATTCTATGAAAAGCACTTCTCCATTTTAGGACAGCAATTTGCAACTTCAGTAAAGTTCTATTTATACATATTTGCATCATTTCAGTAATATTATTATATTATTCAGTAATTCAGTAATAATATAATTCACTGTAGTAGAAACAGGTTATCTCTAACTCCTCAACCTGCTGGGAGATGTGATAAATACCTATGGTGGTATGATCTCATGAAATTTCAGAAGTGATTGGAACTGGCCCTGCCCACAGTCTGGATGTTCAAATTTCTCAGTAAATTTAAGTCTTTCCTTTGGAAAGCATCTTTTTGCTTATAGATATGGAAAGTGGAGTAGTCCAGTAGCAATTTCTTCTTCTAAGGTGCCAGGTAGCTGATCACAGAATCATAGAATCACTCAGACTGAAAAAGACCCTTGTGATCATCAAGTCCAACCATTAACCCTACTCTACAAAGCTCCTCCCTAAACCATATCCCCTAACACCACATTAAATGATCTTTAACCTCATCCAGGGATGGTGACTCAACCACCTCCCTCGGCAGCCTGTTCCAATGGCTGACTACTCTTTCTGTGAAAAATTTTACCCTAATGTCCAGTCTAAATCTATGCTGTGGCAGTGTGAGACCATTCCCTCTTGTTCTATCACTAACTACCTTTGAGGAGAGACCAGCACCAACCTCTCTACAA